GCTATCCGCAATATTCAACAATCTTTTAGTTCACCAGTAGCCAACATATTGCTCCTTGATTTTATACTTTGTTCTGAACCTGCCGTTTGCACTTCGGACATGTTAGAGGGCTACGTCAGTAAAGGCTACCAATAATAAAAACATAAATAAGGTTACCAATGTCAAATCGACGCAACCGTTAGCGGCTATGAAAAAGGTTAGCTTAAATTAGGTGCCCTGCTTTGCCTGTTCCTTTCTTCTTCGTTTTATTTTCTAGGGGAGTTCATTACCTGCGTTGCCGTCTGTTGGCGATGAAGCTCTTAAGCGTATAATGTTTAGTCAAAATAAGAATAATTACTTTCCAAGTTTATCAGAATAACTAATTCACCATATAATTACAATGAATGCTCAGCCCAATCTTTTTAAATCTATACTTTTTTTTCACTAGACAGGATTTATCATACATCCGGACCAGCAGGTGGCACTGTGCAAAAGGAAGCCAGAACTGTAAGGTCGCTTGCTGCGCCTGCGCGGCGTTTCACATGGTAAACATCGCAAACTCTGCATCTGTGAGAAGACAGGACAGCATGCAGATGTTTAGTACTTTTCAAGAAATCAGAAGGGTCAAGTGCCGCTAACACAATGGCCACTCCAGCAGTACGGATGTTTCGCAGGTTAGAGGGCTTGTTTTGTGTCTATAAACCCTCTGGTGTGCACTGGAAACATGTTCGGGACACCATCGAGACTAATCTTCTCAAAGGTGAGATGGTATGACATAAAAAGCTCTAAATGCTGCGTTTGTTGTTAGCGTTAATTTTAAGTAAGTAATTGTATTCATTTTCAGAAGCTTACTGGCCTTTGAATTTGTCACTCGACAGGTGTGAACAGTACACCTGCTCAGCCTCTTCCTCATGAGGTTCGCTTCTTGGCCCAACCAAACAGTGGCACTGAAACAGCCAAAGGACTGACGCTGTCTGCAACATTGGCGCCAGTACTGTCCAGCCACCCTCTAGGTATGTAAATCAGTGTTTCTGCCCTATCAAATTCTCTATTAACAGCATGTGAGCCAAATGAAAATAGAACAGTTCAGCTTTTCTTTCAGGTGTTTGCAGCTGCAAATAAACAAACAATTCACTTTGACAATTCACTCATCCACTGCTGAGTGTCTGATCATATCATAATTCCAACCCTAAACCAGGTTTTGACTCCTTTAAAAACCCTTTAGATTGATAATGTTGTCACCAAACTGTATGTTTAAATAAACAGTGTTGGCGGGCTTTTCACCTTCTGATTTAAAAAAGTAGTAAGTAAAACAATTATAATAGACTAACATGAGTCAGTGTGACGACCTGTTGTTGTAAGACAGCTCTCATAATGATTTTAACGCTGTACTGTACCTAATTGCATTCTATGCGCTGAATGATAGACTGAAGACACTGTAACAGGTTTATTGTGCTCATTATGATCTAAGTGAGATTGATTTTATGTAAGAAATCATATTTGAAGATATTTTAGATATCCTAATATTAGCTTCAGCTAATTCCCCTATTCACCTCTAAATGTGATCCTTTACTTCATTTTACAAATATAAAAAGTGTTCGTGTGTTATGCACTGTTAATGTTTCTTTCCTCCAGCTTGTCCCCGGGTTTTAAAATATGCGTTTTTCCTACACTCTCGTTTTAGTGACTGGACCTGAATTCCAGCGTATGCGAGTTGGGGTGGGACATCGCCTGGATGCTGCGTCCTCTGGGGTTCTGGGTATAATTTTATAAAAGTATTCTTGAGTACAGTTTTTTATGTGATCAACAAAGTCTCACAGAATATTCACTTTGCTCTCCTTGATAGTTCTCTCTGTTGGGAGTGGAAACAAGTCTCTGAATGAGCTCTACAATACACGAGTCACAAGGGTAACTCCTGGTTTCTGCTCATTTTAAATCAGCCGCCAAGATGCAGAATGCTTTTTTAATTTTTTTTTTTTAGTTTTGACAGTGTAATCACCATTTATTTTGCCTTAGGACTACACCTTGGAATGTGAATTTGGCACTGCAACACATGATTTCTCTGACACGGGCCGAGTTGTGGAAAAGACCACTTATGGTACGGTTCCTTTTAAAAAGAATATTTATCATCCTAAAAGTATCATCTGACGTAATCTTCTGCCTTTAATTGAGTGCGTCGGGAATTCACGCTCGCTGTTAAGATTGGTTTTCACTTCATTGATACGTGTTGTGCGTTTTTCACTGGACTTAATATGCAAAATTCTCTGTACCTGATCTACGTATCATTTAGATGCATTTTCCAATTAAAAACAATCTCTTTCATTAGATCACATCACAAAGGATAAGCTGGAGAGAGTGATTGCAATGCTGGAAGGAGCCAACCAAAAGGCACTGAGAATGTATGTCAATCAATTTTAATGCCATCGCATGTCTAAACACACAGGGATTTTGACTTATTTTCCTCTTTGTCTCCTCCATCTCCCATCAGTTTACTAAGAATGTCATACTTTTTACAAATAGCTCATCAATTCCATCTTACAGGACTTGCTTTTTATTTTCTTAAAGGTACTCCAATTTAGACATGAGTTCACAGGAGGCCTATGAGATGGCTGTGCGAGGTTTGCTGGGGCCAGAGGGGAAATCGGCTCCCATTTTGACAGGCTTACGCTGCGTTCACTTCCAACCACCCAGCTTTACTTTAGGTAAGCTGAACCCTAACCACAGGGAGCATCTCGCTTGGCATTTTCTGAACTGCTGCATCTTTGTGATGCTTGTGTCTACTTTTGCAGAGGTGCAGTGCTTAAATGAAACTCAGAAGTACTTGCGTAAAGTTGTGCACGAGCTGGGGCTTGAGCTGCGCAGCACAGCAGCCTGTAAAGGAGTGAGACGCACTCGAGACGGACTCTTCACTGTGGAGGATGCCCTCACACGGAACCACTGGGCCGCTGCTGACATCATGCAGGCCGTCCGACTATACCACTCCAAGAGAAAAAGAAAGCCCTCAAAGCAGCCCATCCAGAAAGTGCCACTACAGGTTCCTGACGAAAGTAGTCGGCCGACTAAAGAAAGTTCATCAGTAGATCCAGTTCAACGCATCGTCGCTGGAAGTAGCAGCTAATGTCTGTCAGCTGCAGAAGTCTGGACGCAGCTTCAGTTTATACAATTCACTGCTGTTGGAGAAGTTTCTCGACCAGAGATTTTGGTTTTAGCGAGTGTGGAAAAGGACGCAGATGATCCCACTTTCATCTGCAGATTTATCTCGGTATATCCATTTTGTATTACTTTCTTCAAACTTTCTGTTCAGATTCTTTTTTGTTGTCATTCTCAAGAAATGAAATCCTTAATCTTTAAAAATACGGATGCATTTGATTGAGATTTATAGGTCGTCATTTGACATTACAGGCCAGTAGATTGGATGTGGTTCACTGTAAAATCCCACACACTGTCTTCATCCTAAGAATGCCTACAGGCATCTGATTTCAATAAGTAAGGTATAAAATATTTAACCTTTGTTGGGACATTACATTTATGACTTTTGGCATTGATATCATGTTTAACTTATTGTGATTTCTTGACTCTCGTTCAAATAAATGGGAAGGACTTAAAAAAGTTTGGCCTCTTTCAACTTCAGAATAGAAACACCATTCATCTTTTTGTGTAAACTTAAAGCCGCTCTGCCTCCCTTTGCAAAGCTGCTGAGAGCAATGCTCCGTTTAGAGGGGAAGTGCTGCCATCTCCTGTATGAGGGCTGAACGTCTTTTGTTCTTACAGACAGGTCTGCTCTCCTCTCTGACTACATGGCTGCCTGTGACACAGGTAACCGATCAATTGGATGACTAAATTTATTCCAAAATTAATACACACCGTCCGGTGACATCTCCTCTGGCTTTGGGCGTGATGGCGTAGATTCCGTCCAAACTAAGTGACTCGATTTCTGGACCAAAACAGAAGTGGTGCAAACGGTCAAGACTTATATTATATAATTAGCTTTATTTTTGCTTATTGTTTTCAATTTTAGTTTTTTAATATATTTCAAAACTTGTTATATAAAAGTGATATCAAACTAAGAACGGGGGCAATGACTTAGTTTGTCTTTAAAACATTTTGTGTCGTAAGATTTACTGCAGCATTACTCAAATACATTTTTTTCTTGTTACTGACTTTCTGGCGTATTTGAGAAAACAAGGGCAGGGGGAAAATTCTCTGGTGGGTAATAGCATTGGCTGCCATCGGTGCCAAGCACTAAGATTTAGATCTAGTGTTTTTCTTTTTAAATTTTTAAAACTCCATCCTCTGGAACCATCCTCTTCATGAAATTGTAATTAAAACAGTCTCTTCAGTCAGAGGCTTTTTCAGATTGGTTGTAAAATGGAGCACTACAGAAGAACTTTCCTGCCCACAGCCATTAGAGTCTATAATACCTCCTTAATTAAATGAGTTACATCAACATTTAACTTTCCTCTGGGATAAATAATGTATTTTTTAATTGAATTGAATCATCTATGATCTCTAATGATGCTCGCTCTGCATTTGTTTTGGGATCTTGCAGAGATATTGCCCTGGCGCCATTGTTCACATGCTCTTCATACCATTCAAGGACTTGTTGTCCCACTGGGAACACAGTTTTCATTGTCAGTCTGGAGAAACACAACTCACTTGAGGACACAAATTAAGTAAGCAAGCAGACAAATTGTAGTCATGGAGATTTATTGAGCTTGCAAAATGACAAAACAGTTTTATTGTTTGATTGTGTTTCTGGGAACACAATGTGCTGTGTAGGTACTCAGGGGATATAAACTATAGCGAAATACACAACCAAGTAATAAAAAAGTGCATTGAAACATTTACACTCGCACTGTATTTAATCATAGAGGCATGAAGTGTATTTATGATTATATGACCGACCAGGCAGCTGTGACAACTGCAAGGGAGCTCTGCGGTTCTATTTATCTAAAACAGATAGCAAACGCAAAATAACAATTCATTTTATTATAGAGCAACACCGTGTACTGGACAGCTACAACAAGATAGAAACATTGCTGACCACCCCATATGCAATAGATTACCAAAAAAATGTTTTTTACCATGAAATGTTCATTTGCTCAGACAGAATATACCATGTAAACATTTATCCACACAAATCATGCCAAGTGTAGACCTTGTAGAACAAACTTTAAAGAGCTACAGACTGACTTTGAGAAAACTTAATATGAATGTTTTTCTCAACTGAAAGTGCATGCGGATTAAAACTTACAGTCTGTTTTGCTATTACAGCTTAAAAAAGTAATATTCGAAAAAATATTTTAGAAACTTTTCAAAGGTTAGATTTAAGTAAAGAGGATAATTCCAAGTTTCGCAAGGAAACACAGCAACCCATTTTTTGGAAAAAAAGTAATCTCCTTACTTGCTAGAATATGATTAAACATTTTTTATAAAAAGGACATTTACAAGCTTTGTTTTCACCTGTCAATGTCTTGAAACAACAAGCACCATTTAACAGATGTGGTACAGCAATAGATAGCCGAAGCTTAGTGTGAAAAGGAAATTAAATGTCTGCAAATGTAACAACCCTAAGTACATACAGCCTGTTGGAATGAATGTTAAGGTGTCAACTGAAATGTTGTTCAGCAACACGTTGACCTTTTTTTCGGCGCTGGCTGGCTGTGCAACGCTGTGGCTTCCTCTGTTGAGTCAGGCCTTTGACTCAACATCCTGGAAACAACACAAACACAAACGTTGTCAGCTGATGTCGCAGCAGGCAGTGTTACAACACTGGCCGTCCAGATTTGCACAAAAATATTTCGAAGAGGAAAAAAAAAGATAATCAGATGTAAATTACCTGGCTACAGTTTCCAAAGCCTCAATAACATTTTCACCAGTGGCAGCGCTGCACTCCATAAACTCAAAGTTGTATTCCTGTGGAGGGAAAAAGATGTATTTACACACTGCCTCACACACTTAATGTACATTCCATCATATTTTTTTTTATCCCATCCAAACATATAACATTTTTCAATTTCCTATTATTACATTTCTGTTGTATATATTAAAATGAATATATGGGTTTGATAGATTTCTAATTCCATTTCATGCCGTTACAATGTGAATTTCCCAGCTGTGGGACTAAAAGCTTTATTGTATCTCATTAAATGCTTTATAGCTAAAGAGAATGCAAGAATGCCAATGCACCAAACTGATACCTTAGCAAGAATCTCCCCCTGCTGAGTTTTAACCTGCCGTTGTTCATGATCACTCTTGTTCCCAAGAAGTAAAACTGTCACATCATCTGCAGCACCCTCCTGTAAAACATATTCATTTGATCTTTTAGAATCTGTAAGCAACAGGTCAAGTCCAGCTTGGATGTTTTCATTTGGAAGTATTACTCAATTAACATGAAGCATTTCAGGCATATGCTACGAATCTTGAGGAAATCTTTGATAGGATTAAATCATTTTGCTGCACCAACATAGACCGTTTCAGATCAATGTTTCCGTCATAAACGCTGTCATATCCCTCACTGTGGCACAGTCTTTCTATTTGTAATGGACAAACATTTGAAGCTGTAGCTTTACTTTTAAATGGGATCCACATAGTGGAACATCTGCATAACAAAGATAATTTCTATGGAAACTTCCATGACACACTAGTAAAGGAGTCACTAGTTCATGCTGCTGCCCACTTTTGTAAAGCGTTACAGCATCTGTAATACTGTAATAGCACAGGGAGCAGAAATGTCTGAAGGTTTGAGCATACTGTCAGAGATCTTCAAGAAAGAGGTTCATCCTATTAAAAGGCAGACTGACAGACAATACACAGGTTTAAAAAAAAAAAAAAACTGCTCGCATGAGAGAGCAAATCAAGTTTTGACAATCATCATTAAGTGAAGAGAAAACAAAATAGAACACTCAGTTGAGTGTGAAGTGTCTTACCTGAATGGAGTTTGCCCAGTAGCTTACTGCAGAGAAACTCTGAGTGCAGGTAATATCATACATCAAGAGAAATGCCTGCGCTTTGTGGAAAATCTGCCGCGTGATGCTACGAAACCTTTGGAGACATATCAGAATATAGTCAAGATACACTATGCCTTAAGATTAAAATTTTTAAAAATAAATCAGGGTGTGACTCTACTTTGTAGTCTGGCACAATCCCACACTTTATGTTGAGGCATGATTGGATATTAGTAGTCTGCCCCAGTACACCCAAAAAGGGCGGATAGTGCTCCTGGCTGACAGGAGATATGTGTCTAACCAGTTCTCTGCTTAGGCCTGAAGGAGACTTCTCACCAAGGATGTAGTAATATATGTATTTCCAGGGCAATGTGGTTTGGTGCTGAGGTGTACACATTGCTGAGAACAAAGGGTGCCGTTTTTGGTATAGAGGGCAATGAGAAAGCCTCTAGGATGACGACACAGTCTGTTTTCAACCACCACAGAAGCAAAGATTAGATGCACTGACAAACACTGATGCTTCCTTGCAAAAAAAACAAAACCTGCATGTGGTCAAACATTCAGGTAAAAGTAAACCACAGAACAGAGTATTTTTGACAGATTATACCCTTCCTTCAGATAGACGTCCACACGACTCTGTGAGAAATGAATCTTCTTACTGGTTATTTTCAGGCATGAAATTAGCTCTTTTAGCTCTATTCTTTAAAACGTACCTTTCTTGACCTGCTGTATCCCATAACTGTAGCACCACCGGTTTTCCCTCCACTACCACAGTCCACATGCAGGAATCAAGGCCTTTGAATAATATTCAGATTAACAGGGTGAGCCACTTCTATAAACTGGCACGTTTGTTGCAGGATTCTTAAAACACAGACTGAGATCTTACCAACAGAGGCAGATAAATCTAATGAAAACTTCCCATTTTGGGCTCTTTTCATAAAGGAGGTTTTCCCCACATAGCTGTCTCCTATCATCACTACATTGTAGCCCTTTGACCCGAAGTCCGTCCCTCTGGAACCACCTGCTGACAATCACAGTACAGCCACATCACAAATGAGTAGGGGTCATTTTGCTCAGTCCGTGAGCATGTGCATTGTGCTGATGCTGGTCTATTCACCGAAAGGAAGATGACTTCCATGAGTCAGGCTGATTCCAGGTTGGGTGGAAGTCCTCTCACTGCAAAGCCAACAACACACTTCAGATCACATATCAATTATAAAATTTGCTACCTGAAGGATTCAGCTCTTTTTGGCTTTCAGGCTAAAGTAAAATGAATAAACAGAGGAGATAAATAAGCAATACAATGTGCTGCAGGTGTTTATGTGTGTGTGTTTATGTGTGTGTGAGAAAGAGATGGGGATGAGGAGAGATAGATGTAGATATGGAGATATTCCAGTCAGTATGGGTCAGAGCTTTAATGTTTGTCAGTAGTTGTTTATATGAGACACACCTCACACGTTCTGAGAGCTCTTTGGGACTTGAGATGCTGAAGTCGGTCGAGGCCCTCTCGTCATTTTCAGCAACCTGGAGAAACATGTTGATCTATTTTCATTTTTTTCTTGCAGGTTATGATACTCATTTGAGGCATGCATGAGGGAGCTTTCTTAGGGCTGCTAGTGTATGTTCTCCTTTCTGTTGTGTGAAACACATAGCGCTGACCGTATGTTCCTCATTTTACTTCATCGTTTCATGTTTTCTCTTCAAACAAACATGCTTTCAAAGTGCACAATGTTTGATACAAATAGGAAGCACAGACCTGCTATGTAAAAAAACACTTGTTAGTAAAAAAATAACTTTTCATATCAGGGTAAAGTTTGCCTTGCAAAGATCAAGAACTAGCAAAGATTGAAAAGTTATTTGAAAAGCCAACACTGAAATAACTGTTTGAATCTGTCTGAAGCCTCCTTCATTTAAACATGTGCTTTTCTTTTTTCCTTCAGATGAATGTGAGTCCTGCTGTTTCAGGATATTGGGCTACTGCCTGACAGTAGCTGACCGTTTTAATTTAAAAAAATATCAACAATGGAATTCTCTGTGCTTATTAAAAAACAAAACATAATATCTGTTTTGTGACATCATGAGTTCTAAAGTAAAAGTGGACCAATATTCAATGTTCATATTAAAAACAGTAGAGATCATAGTCCTTCAAGACAGTGAACAGCAAATACTTTGGTCCTTACCTCTTGTATTTTGTCCAGAGCAGGTGATTCTTCCCTGCAGTCGTCAGGTTCCTTCTCTGCAGCTTCCTCTGTGATTCCTTTCACATCCTTCTCATTTTCTGCCCCTGTTCTGGCCTCTCTTCCAGCATGGCTGCTGCGTAGGCCTGTGCCCGACTTCCGGTTGGATCCAAACTTTTTTCTCCTCCCTCCATAAGCCGACTCTGACTGCGGATCATTTGTGGGAGGGTTGGACGGAAGGACACTGGGACTCTGCTGATTTTCCGTTTCTGTTGGTTGGCTCTGAGAAACACCTTCAGCTTTTTGCTCGGACTGAGGTGTTACCAGGCACTCCATAACATGGCAAATTTCCACTGTTTCATTTATTTTCTCTTTCCTTTGGTCAGAGTCACCTGCTTGGTGCTCTGCGTGGGGTTGGAGATCTTTTCCTGTCATTCGGGGGTCGGTCTCTGTTACAGCCTCCGCCGCTTCATTCTCCAGCTCCTGGTTTTGATGCAAGTCTTCTCTTTTGGTTCGTGAGCTGAGATTCTTTCGAGTGGATCCCAATTTTCTCCTCCTATTGGGTGAATTTAGATTTGGACTTGGGCTCTTCCTCTCAAGATGAAATCCTTCACTAGGGTGAATTGGGTTTTGCCCATCCGCGTCTTGGACTTTCTCGAGTTTCACACTTTCTGGCCTATCCTCATTATTTTGTGTACACGGTGTAACCTCACAAAAAGAGGCTGAGCTCCCTGCTGTCATGCCGCTGTTTGCCTCACTATTTTGAGGCACTGACTGACTCATTAGGCTACTATTTGTTCCAGAAACTTTGTGCACCTCGATGCTTGTAAAGTCATCTTGTTGCGATGTTTCAGCTCCATGATCAATTATTTTCCCTTCAACATTTTCATCAGCTCCCGTACTGAAAGTAACTGGGTCGATTTTAATCTCGTGCTCCTCATATCTAATGCTTGTGTTTCGGTCAGTTTCTTGTTGCTCTGCGCCACTCTGGACATTTTCACTCTGTGCTACATCTGCAGTTAACAGTGACTCTACCGTCACCTCCATCTTGTCAGGATTCCTCCCAGCATCCTCTGTGCTTACAGAACTTTCATCTGTTTGTTCTTTGTTGTCCTCCTCTTGTCTCCTGTGGAGTGGAGTCCTGCGAGTAGAGCCCATCTTTCTCCTCTTCTGTTGGGATTTCACCTGCAACTTTTCACCCTCATCCGAGGGAAATTTTTCTAGCAGGCTGCTGTGTTCATCTTTTGTTGTCGAAAAATCTCTTTCGGAAGAGGCATCCTCTGCTGGCTCTTCTTTTACATCCATTGAGCTGTCCACCTCTGTGCTGCAGTCTTCCACTGTGAGACATTCAACAGTTTCTGTCTGCTGCGAGTCCCCGTCATGAGACAAAGCTCTTGTGGTTTGGGCTTCTTCTTGATGGGGAACAGGCACAGTGTCTGACTGGGGGTTGATAATGTGATCATGATACAGGGCTCTCTGCATATCTGAGTCACCTTCCCAAACAGTGGCTCGTGGTGATTGCATCAAGTGCTTTTTGACTGTGTCATGTCCTGCAAGCTGACATGAATTATCAGGCTCGCTGATGTGTTTTGTGGATTTCTCACAGAGGTCTTCATCGGATTTGAGAGAATCTCCATTGTCAAACTCTGGATTAATATCTGACGCTGCAATGGCCCTGTTTCCCCAAGCATTGTCTTTGCCCTGCTGCCTTCCCTTATGCCTTCGGCTGGACCCCATTTTCCTTCTGTTAACTGCTGGTTTGGGTTCTGACAGGGTTTCATCTGTGAGACTTTGATAATTGCCCAGAGGTTTGGAGTCCACAGGAGGATCTGAATCAGATTTGTGTGTTTGAAGAGAAGGATTGTTCTCTGTACATGTAGTGTAATTGATTTGAGGCATTTCTTGTGTATCTGCTGAGTTAAGCTGCTCTTCGTGCTCTTTACTCTCTACATCCTGTGGACATAAAACTCCTGCAGCTTCAGATAGGTTTAAATTTTCTTCTTCTTCCCCATTTGAGGGCACACACTCTTGTGACGAAATTGTGTCTTGAGCAACACTGACCTTAAGCATGGTGCTATTTTTTACTGTGGTTGTCTCTGGTATGATGGAAAGGTCTGAATTTTCACTTGATGAATTGGTTCCATGTGCATCTCCACATAGCCTTAATATTTCTCTGTCCATATTCTCTGTTGTGGTGGAGGCGGTGGGAGGTTCATCTTCGGGGAGCTCCTTGAAATTTGACTTGATTAGCTGTTCCACAGTAAAGTCTTTGGTTGTTAAATCAGAGAGGCCAGAAGCAGTTCCAAAACACTCATTTTGTTTATTGGGAAGAGTGTCAGATGTGCTCATTCCCTCCAACTTAATTTCTGCTGGTTTTTCCTGGCTGGACCCAATACCTCCACTGTTCCCTTCAGCATTGAAATTCTGCGGAAGCTGAGAGTCCAGAGGAGCATTCGTTTCACATGGCGGACTTTGTAAATAGTATGTACTATCACATATTTCAGAAAGGACTCCTTGCCTGATGTGGTGACCTGTTCCCACCTCATTGGGATTCATGGCATCCTTCAGTTGGCTTTCAATCTCACACTGATGATGTCCAAGTGCAGTCTCTTCTCTTTCTATGTCATCCATCTTTGTATTAGGATGATCAGCGCCTGTCACTGAAGGCTCAGACTGGCTAGCTTCCCCAATTTCAGTTTGTTCAACCAGGTTTCTGGATATGTTCACAGTATTGACTGTGGCCTCATCTCCCTCTGTTTCAGTTGTGTAATCATTCTGAGACATGTTACGTGCTTGTACTGACTCAATGTCCTGTTCAAGCTCTTTTTCAGCAGCCGCCCCTGAGTTCTGAGCCACACCCACACCGATTAATTCTTCCTCTTTTACAGGAGCCTCCTCTTCTGGTGACAGTTTCTCGAGGTTTTGTCCAGGATCCGCCTGTATCTCTGGTATGATTGGAAACAGATGAGGTTCAATCTCAGAGTGCTCTTGCAAATTTCCATCTTGCGTTGACGGCTCTGTACATTCATGTCTTTCCATGCTCTCTGCCTTTGCTGGCGAAGACCCGTTGGGAAGTTCCTCATCAGGCATCTGTCTGTTGCATGAATTTCCAATTACCTTTTGATCTACTGTGGAGGTTGAATGTACGCCAGCAGCAGTTAACTCTGGAGCGCAAACAAGAGAGCCAAAGTGTATATTCTCTTCCTCTGTTTGAGGAATATTCATTTTTTCCCCTTCCAGTATGATTTCCATGAATTTTTCCTGGCTCTCTGTCACTGGTGTTGAGTCTTCACTAGACTGATTACTGCTTGCCTTGCCATCAGCTTCCTTCATAGTTTGAAGGTATGTTATGGGAGCTGAGTCTTTGGCCTTATGTTGTCCTTTATTTCTACGGCTAGATCCCATTTTTCTTCTGTGGCCAGTCTGGTGGAAGCCTGTGTTTTCTACACTTCCAGAACTTTCCTGATGCTGGTAGTCGAAGGAAACAATCGCTCCAGTTTCAAACGGTGATCCAACAGGTTTAAGCTCCTCTGTCTGAGAAAGAGAGTTTTCCTTTTCCTGATCAGTAATTGATTTTATGTCATCCTCTTCTTGGCCCTTTAACTCATGAGCCTGACCAGGAGCAGAGACGATACTTCCTGGGTGACTAATGTATGGTTGATTGGTAGCCCGAAAAGTGTAATCCTCATTTTTCAGGTGTACAAACTCTAAACTATGTATTGCATGCTCATCTAGTCTTTCTGCAGGAACTTCCTGCTTGGTAGCAGGATTGTCATTATCTTCAACTGTGAATTCAGTCTGGTGAGCGCTAAGGATTTCAGCGTGGTCAAGTGGGTTGGCAGAAATGACAGCATCACTAGCATCTTTAGAAGATCCAATGCGGAGAATGTCGCATTCATCCACTTCACACTGCTCAGCTTCCACTGCTTCATCTGACACTTCAACATTAACATCTGTCTCTCTCTCATCCTCTTGCTCTTCTGGAAAACTTTCAGTTTGAGGAAATACCTTTTTCTGATCATTCTCAAAGTATATTTTGGGCGTACAGCTCTCTACTTCAGAGGATCCCGCAGAAACAGATGATGGTAGCATTGAGTTGTCATGTGACACAGGCAAATTAAGACCATGCTCTGTGTCTTGACTTAATTTGTCCTGATTTGTTATCTTTGTCTCCAGCAGTATTTCTGTTGTTTCTGGGTCTTTTTCATCACTATTTCTTTCTAAAACTTCCAGTTTAGATTCTTTAAATTTCAGCTTTCCCTTATTTCTACGACTTGAGCCGAGCTTTCTTCTGTTCCCAATGTGGCCAAAGCCAGAGTCAGTTTGTTCAGCCGTGCTAACAGAACGGTCCGCATGTTCGAGATCAGAAGGAGAATTTATTTCTGACAGGAGAGTTTCCCGTGAGAAATGATTGTTCTCAGCTTTTAATCGGTCACTGCTGTCATCGTGATTAACACTTTGTTCAGGACAGAGTGTTACATAATCCTCTGCTTTGCTTTCATCCTCATTTATCTCCCTAAGTCCTGTTGTGCTTTCTGTATTACTGGTCCATGTTTGCGGGGAACCAACCTGGCGATAATCCTCTTCCCTCATGTCAACAGTCTCTAAGTTTCTCTCAGTTTTAATTAAATCACTTTGTTTGCTAACACCAGCTGAAAGTTTGACAGCAGAATCATCTGTACTTTTCTCTGTGAGCTCAGACGTGTACATGTTGTCTCTTGCAGCTTGGCTAATCAGGTTTTCAGCAATTATTTCTGGATTCCCTGTCATGGTCTCAAAAGTATAATCAGTTTGGAGAATTTCTTGCACTTGTGTTGGACGAACCTTATCTCCCTGTATTCCCCTTGCTGAGAGAAGAGCACTGTTGGTTTCTTCACCATGAGGAAAGTCACATTCATCCACCTCCTGCTGCTTGCATTCCGCTGCTTCACTGGACACTTCAACATTAACATTGGTCTCTCTTTCATCCTGATCTCCTGGCAGGGTTTCACTTTTTGGACTCTTGTCGGGGTCAGTTTCAGGATACATCGCTGTGGTGGACTTTTCAGAAAAAGGACCACTTGCAGATGTTGAAAACATGGCGCTCTCTCGTGAAAAGTCAACATCATGCTCTTCGTTTTGGTATAAGCTTATCTGACTTGTTGCACTACTTTCCACTGACATGTTGATTGTTTCAAGAGCTTTAACATCTTTGGCATTTTGTAAAATATCCACTTCATGCTCTTCAATTCGTCTTCCTTTACTTCTATGGCTTCCAAAGTAGCCAAAGTCTGAGCTGGCTTGTTCATTCACACTCAAAGAACAGTCCTGAGGTTGAGAGTCGACAGGGTCATTTATTTCTGACGGAAGGGCATGCATAGATAATTCTATTTTCTCCCCGTCAAACACCTCCTCTTGATGGAGGGTCTGCCTGTGATTCACATCATCCTCCACATGACTTCTAAACTGATACATGTTTACAACAGCAGTTTTGATGTCTTCTGTGCTGCTGACCTCAACATCATCGTTAGGTCTCACGTCTCCCTCCAAATGTTCCCCTGTTGAACACCGTTTGTCATTTGCTGTGGAGCTGACTTTATGTGTGTTCATATCTGGTTTGACAGTGCATATAAGTACTGAGTTAACATCTGACTCACTCATGAAGTGATTTCCTTGTGTACTTCCATCTTGCCTCAACAAGTCTATGTCACTGCTTTCATTGCTCTCTGATTCTGGCACAGAATACATGTTACAATGTGCAGCTTGTTTGTTTTTTAGCTCTTCATCTAAAACACAAGCAGATTCACTGTCACTGGTTGACTGGCTGACATGTGCATTAAATTTGATTTCTTCATTTTCAAAAAAGTCCGGTTTTCCAGTGCTTTCCTGGTCTAACTCGCCAACAGACTGCAGATAACCAGTCTGGGACACTGAAGTTTCTATGTCATTCTGCAGGCTGATGGTGGGGATCTCAACCTCAGAGTTCTCAGCTGAAGTGTCTGAAAACAAGAAGCTGCTGTGCATTGTAGACATTCTTTGCTCACTTCCCCGAGTTAATTCTTCCTGAATGTCAGGTTGTGTTGCTTCTGCTGTTTCTAGAGTTTTAATATCCTCGGTGTCTTCAACATCCTCTCTAACTTCGAGGTATGGCTCGGTTTCTGAGCCTTTCGCCTGTCTCTTTCCTTTATTTTTCCGACTAGATCCCAGCTTTCTTCTGTTCATTTTGACTTCAGGTGGATCAGCTTTTGGCTTTTCAACTGTCAGTGTTGGAAAATATAATTAGTGACCATGTGCATTAATTTGGCTCACAGTGTTCAGACACATCTGTCGTGCGGTTGTCAAACTTAGGTTTGGTTTTGCTTTAATGCCCTCGCACAACATTGTTTTCCTGTCCCTCTCGACAGAAACGTTCTAATCTTTGTGCCTGGAGCGTGAAACATGCGGTTGTGCAACGCGTTATGTGATCATATTCAAGTACGGTTCACAAACACAAATTGAAAAGATATGAAATAGTAAAACTGAAGTATGTGAAACCAGATTTCATAATAAAAAAACAGGGCAAGTTAAATTTTGTAGCATCACTCAGTTAAAACGGTTACACTTTGCACATAGTTGCAAACTTAATCATTTTCTGTAAAAAAAAAAAAAATTGGCTCATGTAATCAGTTATTTAAGGGTTTCTAGTAAAGTAATTACCCCAGGTGTACTTACCACTTAAATCTGGCTGCTGTCGTCTAGCAGCACGAGCTCCTCTGAAATGTCATGTCATCAGTCTCTGCTTTTTCCACGCATGGGGGAGTGTTTAACAGCTAAGATGTCTAGTGCTTCCTGTGTGGGTTAAACGTGCAGCCTATATTGGCACCACACAGTAACTTCCTGAACCTGAAAGCTCAAATTTCCAAAAATCTCTCAACTGAGGTGTTTGATCCACACAATCCATGTAAATTTAAAATAAGGGCACAAACAGCGTGGACTGTAACCTTGGAAAAACATTTATTGAAGTTGTCAAACGGCATCATCACAAACTGTTGGCGCTCAGTCAAGCAAAGCTTATGAAAAAGTTTCATACAGCGGGTAAAATACAGTTACTGATGAAAGTTTCAGGACAACTTAAGTATAACAGCACCGGTATTTATAACATCTGAATACATGTTCTGTCACTCATAAGGTACACGCCCTCTACAGCGTCTCACAGTAATAATAAAAAAAAAAAAAAAAGAAAGCAATCACAACAATGACAAAATAAAATAAAAAAATAAAAGAAATCACAAAACTTTGAGTCATCTGTTAAAATAAATCATGTTACCTGTTAAACTAATTGAAGTCTTAAACATGCAGGACAAGACAACAATATTTATTTGAAAAGAATGTATGCACCACTGATATGGGAGATGTCGCTTCAGTACTTTATATATAGTTTGGCCACTGACTGCCTTGAGCTTGCAAACAAAACCTTAAAAAGAACAAACTTGACTTAAAAAAAAAAAAAAATCAAAAGTCTTTTTGCAAAAACGATCCTGTAGAGTGATCCAAGTCTTCACTTCCTGTCAGTAGACCTGGAACGACTGCAAAGCCAATCGTTTAGTGTTTTACTCACATCGTCGTTAACGGTTTCATGCTAAAGGATAAAGTTAAGAACTTACCTCCTTGAGCGTGAGAAAGACCTTGAGCGCTTACGGTTCTTGTCTCTGGAGAGAGAACGATATCTGCGTCTGTCTCTTGAAAGAGACCTGAATGGGGGATTAAAAAAAAAAAGTTAGAATCTGAATTCAGTCTTCACAGCTCAAAGTAGAGATGAAGAAAGTTGTCCGTGACTCACCTGCTGCGACTGCGGCTCAGGCTCCTCCTCCTTGGGGATCTAAGATTTGGGTGAGGTTAAAAAGTTGAAAAACAAAAATATAAATTAAGACAGGAGTACCCCCAAACAGTACTGCAACCTTTGCCATTTTGACCCTTAAAAGAAGTATGGGTTACATGTGGAAACATGGTTACACGTTCCCCCTTCATCTGCAGCCGTCAACTGCAAAAAGATCAAATCCTCAAAGGAAACCTTTCCCAATGAGCACCAATTATGCAGCCGCACTACAGAATACAAAGATCAGGGCTCGACATTAAGACTCAAGTATTTTACGCTTTCGTAAGAGCAGGGAAACATTCTCGGACTGCCTGCCGCAGTCGTTTTTTAACAACATTTGTGGCACGCAGCCTGTCCACAGTTCTAACCAAAGCAGGCAGCTCTGTAAGGGACCTGCTGACCGTCTCCATTTTTAGTTTGGAAAAACAACCTGCAAGTGGGACATGAAACTAAAACATTTATGTGATGGCTTTAGGGATTACTGCACAACAATTTAAAGATGAAAACAAAAAAGAGGGACAGCATCAAAACTACAGAACGCATCTCACCCATTTCCACCGGAAATGACTCAAGATGGCTTAATGTCGAGCCATGAGAATGGACTCAGCAAAGTTACAAAAGAGCAAACACAGTTCATTTCAGAAGATAAAACTTAAGATTGATGGCCCTGACCCTGAAGCTTTAGATTTTAATCAGTGCTGCACTGGAATTGCTTTAAATATCATAACTGCTCAGAGAAAACTTTCAAGCAGCTTTTAAAGACAGATTAATCATCAAAACTACAAAGAGCAGGATAAAAGCAACTTACTATTTTGGGGGATTTGGGCAAGAAAGAAATGACGCAAGGAAGCCAGACTGATGGTGAGAGAGGTCGAATTGCAGAGAGGATTTGCCACATGATGCAAATGTTGCAGATATGAAGTTGCTTGGTGGCTGGTTGGAGGGGGGTAGTTGTAGATTTTTTCTGCCCTTTTTTGGGGGGGGTGAGGGGTTAAGGAGGGATGTAAGCCATGGGCTGTTCCCGTTGATACAGTAGATGTTTGGAGAATTGAAAGGTTTAAAGACGCTGATTGGTTGGTAATGTGAGGTGGGCCGCTGTCGATTGGATAAAGGTCGAAGAAAGTAGAGGAGGATGCTGGGAACTGCATGCTCAGGAACCAAAAGCTTGGTGGAACCTGACGACTGGCGCTGCGCCTGGGTCATGTGACAACACCAGCCAAGCTGATTGGGGCTCGCTGGTCAGCAGTCACATGATGCTGAAAGAAGACTAGTAGACTGACTCAGATGGTGAGAAGCGTGGTGGTGACTCTGCAACGGGGTTCAGTTTTATTAATAGATGGCAACTGAACTCATAGAAAACAAAATTTACACCCAAGAAAGTGACTCTAAAGAATGTACAAAAATGTCTGATGGATGAAGTTCTAACTTGTGCCTCCTCAGAGGTCCCCGTAAGGCAGCGTTGCTCAGGTGGAGCCCTGTGTTTTACTGACATGAGAATTAACAGTCATGTTCTGATGTAAACTGGCTTTGATTGCGAACCATGGAAAAAGAAAAATACAAAAAGTCCCCTGAAATTAAAAATCATTAGTCTCACTCCATTGAATGTGGAATCATAGGCCATATTTACAAAACATCCTATGGACTCCTATGAAGGAAATACCATTCCGGATGAGTCAAAAGGAAACCAGGTCAGGAGATAAAGCAAATCCCTTAATAAATAAGTTATATATATGTAAAAAAAAAAATCTAAAAAGGAAATGGGAGAGGCGAAAACAAAAACAGTTAATCTTTTTCAGAGCCACTACATACAAATTCATGCTACAAGCACTCATAGGAAGAGAGATATTTTGTAAATATGGCCACAAATCTTTCCAAATGAAAAGAAGGAGTGACATCCGGCCAGATCCAGAGTAGTTATTGATGAACCCACATTGCATAAATTCTAGTGGTGATCATGAAAATGGGAGGAAAAAACTAAACAAAAAACATTTAGCTTTACTGAAGTTGTGTGGACCACTAACAGTTCTCGATAGGGGTCAGGTCATGGCGTTCAAGGCCCACCTATCTGAAACCATGGGGGGGTCTGATGTTTGTGAACTGAACCCAAATGGAAGTGAGTTGGATCAAAGGGTGTTTTGTGAAAGAGTCAAATGTTTAAAGTGTATGGGTGAAATGTAATATTGGCCTGTAATTAACACTACTTCTGAAATCTATCAAATGAAAAACAAACAAACAAGACAGAAATGCATACCTGCGTCTGACTGGAGGACTTCGTCGTCTAAAATCATCCCGAGGGCGTCTACTCCAAGATGGAGGAGGACCACGGCTCCTAGAGCGTTTCTCCCCCGTTGATAGCTCAACACGCACTCGACAGCCGCACATAGTTCTTAAAAACAAAAAGAGCCGTCACATCACAACTTCAGCACAACAAAAGCTGGTCTAAAAAAGGAAGTCGTTTGTTTATTACCTTCCATCCAGTTCTCTGACAGCATCAGATGCATCTCTGGGATCTTCAAACTCCACAAAAGCAAAACCTGGGGGATTCCTGGCAACCCATACACTTCTTAGAGGACCATAGTACCCAAAAGCTCTTTCTAGCTCCGTCTTATTTCCACTGTTTCCGAGATTCCCCACATAAACCTTACAGTCCAGGGGGCAGTCTCGATTAAAAGCTGGGTCTGGAAGGACAAAAGAGAGAAAATAAAATAAGAAAAAATGACAAAATATGCTTTACTTTTGACAAATCCACACAACCCAAACATTTGTATCGATCTATCTACATTCTTCTCAGCTCACAGTTGAAAAAATTGTTAAATGTACGTTTTGAAATGTTTAGGAAATCTCCACCACTGACAAGTTACCATACCTCCCATTTCAAGTATCCTCTTGGTAAGAGTCCTACAATCAGTTCTGTCTGAAAGGAGAAAAACAGAAAAATGATAAGCTTAAATATCACGTAGCTTAAATATACATACGATCTTGAGGCATGGGAAAGAAATTCGGCTCTAAATCTTTATTGTAAAGGTGTATTGGGTTTTGACCAAATCATCAGGAATTATTAAATAATTAGAGTGTTTTCAAGACACTGTTTTACTTTTTGTCAACAATACATGATCAATGAACCATAACTTCATTGGACACAGATGTTCAAAATTCGGTGTCTCCGCTCTTTGTACGTAGAAATCTGGGCCACATTACTCACTGTGCCCCTGATCTGGATAAAATAGTACAATAAATCAATTTAACTATGTAACAAATGCACAGTAAGCGCACGTTGCTGTAGTCGTCCACAAAGCTAATGTTAGCTTCACATTTGCATACAAGCACATCCTCATATCACAAAGTAAATAGTTTTAGATATCGGTAGTGTCTTGCATCCTTTTGATTACGTAAATTACAAATATTTTATTTAATCCTGCCTTTCAAACATTAAAGTTGCTCTGTTGCCACCGCCAGAAAATAACTATGTTAGCCTGCAAAGTGGCTAACAAGGTTAGCATGTAATTACAACGCGGCCAATAAAAATGAACATGAGCACCAAGCGAGCAAATATCTGATGAATTGCAGAGAGGAGCAACGCCATTATCTTGTTAAAGAAACACAGCTCACCTGTTTTAAGCTCCAAAAAATGTTCACCGCCGCTTTCTTGCCTCCTGTTCGATCAGGGGGGGGAAATTCACTAGCTTGCTAGCACCAACAGCACGGCGGAAAAGGGCACGCTTTTCTTCTTTGGTGTGTGAATTAATGGACGGAAAAATGACGGTAGAGCGCCATCTGTTGGAACAATGAGGAGAGTCTTTTCGATAACGAGTCCTCCAAAGTTCGGATGTTGTATAAAATGCTTAAATAAGTGAACAAGTAAAAAAACAAAAAAAGACAAGATAGCAGACAAATCTTATAAACCAAGGTTCTGGTTTGTTTTTACGTATAGTGTCACTACTTTGTTGTATTTAACCTTTACTGAACCAAAATGTTTTTATTTTTTAGATGAAATGTCTGGACTACAGCATCTGATCTATCCATCCATCATTACCGCTTATTCCCTGTTGGGGTCGCGGGGAGACATCTGATCTATTATGCTACAAATATATGCTTTTGAGAAAGCTGCAGTGCGTGTTCCTGCTGAAAATCCCAGAAAATGTCTCTAGATTTAATAAGAGTACAGGTTGCATGGTCTTCCAGGCTCTTCTATACAAACATATCTCCCTTTCAGTATTTGACAAGCGGTAGATGTATACTATTGTGAATAAGATATTGATCAATTACATTTTTAGTTTCAACTATAGTGTCTGAAGCTCAGAGTTTAGCAAAGACTGTTCTGTTCGTAGAGCATAAACATTTGGGAAAACACATTCCTAAAGTAGAGTGTAGGGAGAATGTTTATGATATGGATAAAATATATTCTAGCTGCACGCCTGGATGGAGACGTCCTGGCGGAGGACAAAAAGTTAATGTTTATGATATGGATAAACTATATTCTGGCTACACGCCTGGATGGAAACAGCCCGGTGTAAGGCAAAAGTACAGATATGGGATTACCAAATATAAGGGCAGTCGCACCCAGAGTTAGGCATAGTTTTCTCTGACATCGGGCGATGAGACCTCTCCGGAGTTGATGCATCAATCGGAACTTCTGACTCAGACCTGGCTGACAATAAAATCCTCTTTGTTCGACCAAGTATGCCTCAGCAAAGTCATCCCATAATTCACCACACAACCATGAAATTGTGCATAACAGGTATCAAATGAGATCAAATGCGTTACTCACTACTTCTTTTCAAATACAGATAAACATGTGTGGAAAGTCTTTAACCATTTGTAAATGTTGATACAGCATTTTTCTGACACTGTGATGGACTGGCAACCTCACTGGGGAGTAGCCTGCCTCATGCCCTGTGACAGCCGGGCTGGGCTCCAGTGCCCCCTAACCCTAAAAGGCACCAGCAATATAGACATTGGATACATGGATTTTTCTGTCAAATTTTAATATGCCCACCAAAATATTTAAAGAAAGTTTATGGTATCCTTTGTTGTATTTTAATCTTTTGCATTGACATGAATAAACTAAATGAATCCCAGCTTTGATTTATGTCTACAGTGTGCTCAAACAAATATGAAAACATCGGGTACCAATAAAAGATGAATAACTATAACTGCTCCAACTTTGATGGAAGTAAATAATGAAACATCTTAATTTGCCCTTTGGGTCTCCTGGCAGATATTATCCTTTGACAATGTTTCTGCCTTCTCAGGACACTCTTCATGTTTACCTCCATTTGGCAGCTTTTGAATTATGTCTCACTCTGTTCCTGGGCCCCTTGGCCTTGTGGATATCTTCTTTCAAATACGTTCTATGATATATTTTCACGTAATAAGGGTATTTCTTCCTTTGAAGATATCCATATTTCTCAGTATCAAGCTGTTTATAGACATCACATGGCAACATGATCAGATTACCATCTATTTAAAACCTCCTTCATCAAATAAAGAAAAAGTAAATAAAGTTTCTTAACAGAAACACAGACACAACAGAAAACAAACAGGAATGTCTTTGGATAAGAGCATAGGCAGGAGGCAGTAAAAGTATAATCAGAAAAGAACATTTTTCATTTCTGTTCTTTAGCTTTTCATTCTTGACATAAAATAGGGATTCTTAATGCTACAGCACGCTGAAGTGCAGTTATAAGGTACTTACACGAGTAATCGCCAGCAGCTCATTACTTTAAAAGGTTACCAAGCAACAAATTCTAAGACGTTATTTTGAGTAAAACTATAAAAAGAATAAATGTATCTTACTGTATCTTACAGTAGCTGACTATGTGTTTGAGTTGGTTTTCAGAATCTAAAAACATCCCTGCTGTTAACTCACTGTTTGAAGTACCTAGTGACTCAAAGTTTTCATGAAAAAAAACGTTGACATTTGCAGTAGACTCTCAAATCTCACTTTTGACTGGTGACCAGCACAAGGAGAAATAACATGTTGTAAAATGTACCAGATTATCTGGTATCTACAGAGCCCAGGGTTTTTGTTCTCCCGTCAAAGGAATGAACAACAAAAATTGGTTTTAGTACAACGACCTTCACTCCAGCTGTATGATACCCTATATCAATTGTCACAAAAGCATTCTTTAAAATTTTCAGACAGATACTTTGAATTTTAATGTTTTAATCATAGCTTGCAAGATTGAAGCTTTAGGCAGCTTTTACACACAGTCATTTCATTGCTGTACTGGTGGTAATTTTCTTTATGTTGAGGATCTATTGTTCAGTTGATCACTGCTAATAAGTTCAAGAGGATAAAGCCTTGGGAAATTCGTTGCCAGGCTTTTTCTGCACCAGATACATTAAGGGCTTGGATGTAAAGAAGAGCTTTATTCAGCCAGTTTGACCTGAGAAAAAAAACACATCACAGGGAAAACAGCTGCCTGCCATTTAGTGATTACGTAAGAACATTGGTAAATCAACAGTCAGAGTTGTTGCTCAACAGGCAAAATCACCACAAATGACCCCTTACAAGTGGGTGGGGAGACACTGTAGACGTCCTGTAAAGAGACAAGTTCAAAAAGTGTGAGTCTGGGGAGGTGGAGTGTAACAAAAGTTTTTGTTCTTTTCTCTCTATGAAACTACAACAACCCTCAGAAAATTAAACAAAAGGCTCAGCCCAAAGACAATCACCGTTTACACTGTTAAACACCCTGTTGTGTGTACTATGAAGAACAAATGTTGAATTCCCTGACGTCACAGCCAAAATTTGAATTATATTTTGTTTACCAAACTGACACGTGTCATGATCAGTCAAGTGTGTATTTTTTCCCCCAGAAGATTTAAGACTAACTGCGCTGAAACAGTTGAGCTATTGTGCATTTTTGTTACTGCCTCCAAGTTGACCTATCTCGTGAAATTGCTAAGTTGTGTGTTATTGATTTCAGATAATACAACATAAACCTTCAATAATTCAAGAAAACTCTCTCTCTGCACTGGACAGAGGTATTTCACACACAAATAATGATAATAATAACACTATTACCAGCTATTTTTGAGAGACATAAATTCAAGTGACACTCTGCAAACTGTTCTTATATGACAGTAACAAGATAAGGAAATGACCATAAAGCATTGTTATTACAACAAATAAGGAAGCCTGTCACGAGTTATAAACATGGTCACATAGTTTTCGGTTTGATAAGTACACATCACATAATGTAGTTAAGGCAGACGCACGTCAGGATGTTCCAGTAAAAGGAACATTTTTCAGTCAGGTTGTGATCAGTTTTTCCCGTTGCTGTTTGTGCTGCCAAGAGATTGTTACAAGACACACACAAGTAGTCCTAACTTGCTATATATAAGTTAAGTAGAGATCTGTACATTCAAATATTTCCTTAGTATAAAAACGTCAGTAAAAAAAAGAAAAAGATTCAAGACGATTTGATACTGAGACTCCAAACTGATATAATGCATTGCTCTCTGAGGCAGGTTCATCAGTTCAAAGCGTACAGGCAGTTTACATAATACCAGAAAATGTGAGCTGCAAAAGAGCACTCAGGTCCTCCAGGACTCCAAACAAAGCACTGCATTTTTCCCCCTGTCTTTCCAAATTGTTTAGAAATGCATTGAAATTCAAATGTGAAATGTTTAATTCCGTACAAGAGCATAAACTAACAATATGTCCAACAAAACATAACAATAGTCTTTTACTCTTACAGTAGACACGTCACGTATGACAGCCATCTTGTGCTGTGGCAACACAAAAAAACAACCCGAACTCCCACAACAGTATGGGGAAAAACGGTCACAGAACAACATCCAAAAGGGCACTGTAACTGAGATGGCATGCCAAAGGGGATTTAAAAACAGGCACAACCAAAAACCGTCTTCCTGAACCTGTCAGCGTGTGTTTGGCTGCTCAAACATCGGGCGCATTGTGCATTCATGAACCATTTTAACACCCTACACACAGCAATAAAAAGTGTCTTGCCTGAACGAGTATGAGCTCAAACCTGCCCTCATTGCTGATTGTACCCTATAACGTTGTGCTTTTATAAACATCCATCCAGCTCGATCGCACCCAACCCTTCATATGAGAGTCTTTATTACATATTCAAATTAAACCTTATTTGTATAGGACAGTGTAGTCATGTCAGCTTCAAGTTAAAACAGATAAATAGACTCCCCTGAATAACTCACTGTTCCATCTTCCTCAGTCATTTATTTTGGGTCCTTGGCAGACAGTAGTAACAAATACTTTCTTCGGAGGGCAAAAGTTCAGGGATAAAAGGGATCACTCAAGAGATTACTCCCATGCACGTAACAGGGACGCCTACTACACAAACAAAGAGCATTATGCTGCCCGGCTTTATTTCAGTCGCAGCATGCACTTTCTCCGACGTTATCCCCACCTTTTGCCTTCACCAAACGGAGATATAAAGCTCAATTTGTTTTCTTAGAACATATCCTCCTGCTGCCATAAGTTCTCCTTGAAGCTGTTTAAATGAAACGGCTCTTTTTTTATACATCCACACAGGGCTGTGTTTTTCAATCAGATTAGTACGGCACATTCTGTTCTGTTTCACTTCCTGATGACTGTGCAGTCTCTATCCCTGAATGAACTCACCCGCGTGCTTCTGGTTACAGCGAGACACCCATTCAGAGTAAGGCATTTTGGCGACTGCCGGTCAGATTTTAGAGATTCACACACATTTTGGCAAATATCTCGAATAATTATCAGCCCGACTGTTTATTGGCTTGCTTTAATGAAGGATGGGTGTCAAATTGAAACCGTTAAATTAAATAAGCTGCTGTAAGATGCTGAAAAACCCCAGTGTGTGCGTGATCAATTTAAATGTCCTTTAATTATTGCTGTTTTTATTTATGTCAGAGGGTATGAAATCTATGTCATATTATTTCTGTCTTATTTTCCTGTTTCTGACAAGGCTGCTGCTTTCATCACAACAGAAACAAGATGTTGACTAATTTTGAGGAAGGAGAACACCGTCTGAGGACATGTGTTTCTTTACAAATCTATTCATGCATTACATGGCTGCTCAGGTCAGTGAAGTTCACATGACCTGCTCTGTCTTACTGCAAGGCAGAAGGATGTGGGAAAGAAGCTACGAGGTCACAATGATTTAAGAGTTAAGAATTAAATGTATTGAGCTCACTGACATCATATTTTCATTTCTAATTGTGGAAGCTGCAGGTGGCTGGGGAGACGAGAAAGTGGGTATTTATCTAGATCACAAGGCCACATTTGATTTGTTTCCGTACTATCTGTTTTTTTTTTTTATGGTAATAAAATGTTCTAAAGCAAGCGTGCATAGAAAGTGCTTTCTTGTGATAACCAGATGCTCAGAGGATTACTCAGTCGGTTGACAACGTCCCTGAGGGATTGCAGCATCAGGTTCACTTGTGTTATGTCACCTTTATAATGATCAGGATCATCATGTTCCCTTCAATAGCTGCCTGCTCTCTGCCAGCTGGTGCGTGTCCTCCCTACCTCTGATTGTAGGATTCACCCACCAGAAACCCTTAATAAACTGTTAAGTGTTTTCTCCCATTGTCTCCCAATTGTCAAATCTTTGGCGGCTTTTGTGAAAAATACACTCACAACAAAAAAACATACCATGCTTTTAGCTTTTTTTAAGGAACATATTTTAATGCAAAAAAACATGACAAACATCTACACAAGAGGCATCCATAAGCGTGCTATATTTTCACATTTTGTGGACTAACACTTTAATACTAGCGACATCAGACCACAGAGAAACAAAGGCAAAGCCATAAACATCTTTTATGACTCTTGAGGGAATTTCATCTGCTTTCTCACACCCATGATAAAGTCTGGGGGACTGTGAGCCATTTACATTGTATGCAATCACAATAACAAACCTTCTTTATTAAAGACGAACATTATATTAATGAGCTTATTAAAAATAGAAGTTCATTATTTGTGGAAGGTGGGTGGCCATTGCCATTGATCTGCAGTATGACAGCTTTAAAATGTTTCTTATATAAAATTTTTTATCATGTCTTTTCTTCAGAACCAGATACATTTGTGGATTTTACCTAAATACCGACTGCCTTTATCACTCTGTAGAATTTAGACCTAAGCTGCTTGGGTGAATTCGTCACACTTCTTTGTATTTCTCAGAAAGCTTTCATCTTTTTGTGTCGAATACTATTTGACTTGCAAAACCAGCCACCATAAAGCAACAAACAGGACCTTACATGGAACAGGCTAGTTATTTTAAGTTGTTATTTAACATGGTGAAACACAACCAACTTCAACCACAAGTTTTAATTAATAAAGAATACATACTCATCTCGCAACTTAGTTACAGATAAAAAAATATTATATAACTTTTATTCAAAGGTTTTGTCTGGTATTAAAGAAAAAGAATCAGGCTGTCAGTGTGAAGTTTTACTTTTAACATTCTCTGCACTTGAGAGCCTTTAAATGCCATAACCATGACCAAACCACCCTAGCATATTTACTCCTGTGCCGCATTCACATCAGCTCTCTGACACATTACGGGAGTATTTCCTGCAGGACATTACTAAACTCTTATTGCTTAACACTGTATTCGATTCTATTCGTTGTAGTATTTTTCTTAAGCTTATCCTTTTAAGTAAACTTTCAGGATATCACAGGGTTACTTCAGAACAGCTTTCAACAGATACAGTTCTGATTTAAAATAAAAATAAAACATGAAGTTGTAAATCTTCCTATATTAGATGCCATCAAGACAAACTTAAAAGTACATAGTACTGTGTAATCAGAGAAGAAAGAAGCAGTCAGCTTGAACCTTAGAGTGAAGTTCTGACACAATTAACAAAATCATCAACTGAACATTTTACACTAAAAGTAAAAGTAAATTCAGAATGTCATATTTGGGGACAACATCTGCACTACGCTGTGAGAAGCAATGCAGTGTTTAGTACTGAGGATGGTATTAGTGACTAAATGGTTGTGAATATCTCTTTAAGAGGAATTAAAGAATCAATCAAATTACAGCATAATTGAATGTTTTAAAATGTTAGTGTTTTATAAAATTAAATATCAGATGTACATCTATCTATCTATCTATCTATCTATCTATCTATCTATCTATCTATC